TTGAAGCAAAAGAAACAGAAAACAAGAATTCTGAGAAAAGCAACAAGTTAATTGGAGACATTTTAGCATTCTGTAATGATGTGGGTGTGAAAATGGTCAAGCTGGACGTGCATTAAGACCCAGAGTACTGGGCAAAGCTACAGACTTGGAATTGTGGGGATGCTAAAATGGCTTTTGCCAAATGAGAGGGTGAAAAGCATTACCTGGGTCAAACGTGGAAAACCCAAAGTGGGTATTTGCTCATCTGCTTCCATTTGGGAATCATGAGGTGCCTGTAGTCTGGAAGCATGTTTGTCATTAGCATCTGTAAATGAAAATGTTCGGCTTACTCACACTCCACACGGCCTGTTATATAGGACGGGGAGAGCTCTGCACTGGTTGCTTTTGGGTGAGAGAGAATATTTGTCATCTTGGCAGTGGGTGACGAGTGGTCTCTTGGTCTTGCTAAGTTTTTTGAAGTGTATTCCACCATTTACACCCCCCTCCAGTTCTTTGTATCACTTTGATAACTGATTTATCTGATCTGGAGGGAAAATGCACACGGCCTGTTATATAGGACGGGGAGAGCTCTGCACTGGTTGCTTTTGGGTGAGAGAGAATATTTGTCATCTTGGCAGTGGGTGACGAGTGGTCTCTTGGTCTTGCTAAGTTTTTTGAAGTGTATTCCACCATTTACACCCCCCTCCAGTTCTTTGTATCACTTTGATAACTGATTTATCTGATCTGGAGGGAAAATGCAAGCAGACTTTTTTTTTTTTTTTAAGATGGGTTTGAAGGAGTAATTATAAATTCAAAGACACCATGATTTCTTTCTAAAGTAAGATTTTCTTGTCTTTTCTTTTTTTTTATTTCCCTTGATACTTACAGGACAGCTTTAAACTACAGGGCATTTCAGATTGTGGAAAATAAGTGAAGAAGGGCAGAGTGAGTTGGTAATCGAGTGCATGCTTTTAAAACACCCATTTCCAACTGTTCGCCCACTCAAGCCGTGCGCATGCACCTGACAGGTCTGGTAATGAAAGCTACCAATGGCGGGGGTGGGGGGAGCCGGTGCTGACCCGGAGAAATGGCCTATTCTTGCCCCCACCCCCAGCACCCTCTGTCCCTCCAATGTAACTTAAATTGAATTAGAATTTAAATCCGTAGAGTTCAGTAATATAGTGCCCAGGACACTGGCCAGAGTGGGGAAGAGGGTGATTCACTAACAACAACAAAAATGTGGCCATGTCCTTGCTAAAAAGACTAGTCCGGGGTTACCTTGGTAGCATTTTGTATGTATTTGTATGTGCGTGTTTTCTATGACGAACCCCAGGAATATTCATTTAGCTTTACCGGTGGGATGGCTGGGTGTTTGGAGCTTCTGATGGTCTGAACAGAACTGGACTGCTCTGTCGCTTTGGGGCATTCTGTATCCCAAATAGTTCTCCTTCCTTACACAGCATTTCCCTGCTGGGTCAGAGCCGGGTAGTCCTGTGTGGCTGTGAGAGTCTTTGTGGCACACTGGAAAGCAGTTCTTGCACGGTGGCGTCTCTGTTTCTTTATTCATTTTTTTTTTTTTGACATTTGAACTTAGCTATTGTCTGCGGAGCTGGGTGTGGATTGCAGCGTGTCAGGCTGCAGGCTGCTCTTTTTGGCATGTTCCCCAAATGCTGCTTCTGTGGTATCTCCTCCCATGTGAAGGCTGAAGTTCCTTCCCACTGTGGTGTCCTTGCTTCCCTGGGCCCTAACTCAGCCTGGTGCCTGCTCTGGACCGGCCAGCCTCAAGGGTGTTTTTAAGAAAATGTGGCTATTGTGCACTTATGAAACACAGCACCAACTGCGTTCTCTGAGACCTAACTCCTCCAGTGCTCCATCATCTGTAGCAGTCTAGTTTCAGCACTAAGATACCTGGTAGCGACTTCGGAAGTAGATAGAATTAAGTGACCTTGCTCACCCTAGCTTCATGCAACTCTGGGTTATTAGTACCAAGTTAAAACGGCTGTGTCTAATATGGGTTTGAACGCTCAGCCCTCTCCCCAAATTTCCTAACCAGGGAGTCTGGTTATCTAATAAGGCTCTAGGATGGATCCCAGGCTTACTGTGACCCTTGATAGATGGCAAATGTTAATTTAGCCTTAAAGTAGGGTGCAATAAGCCTCCAGAAATCAAGATATATAGTGCTCAGATGGCCTGGGCTGTGTTCCCTTTATGTTAAATTCACATCACAAAGACAAACAAGTGAACTTCACTTGGAAAAAAACCGACTACTAAAATATTCTAATACGGAAATACTGCAATTTTATTGTGGGGGTAGGGCGTGGGGGGGTTCGCGCCAGGGAGTCCTGTCCAGGATTAGGAAGTTAAGATACAAGTTTCCCAGAACGTATTTTTTTTTTTTTTAAAGAGGCTCCAGCGCTCAAGTCCCGTTCCCAGCGGTGGGGTCGGCCTGGGGTGGGGGTGGGGGCATCTTGTGATTTGAGGACACCTGAAGCTGCTTCTTCCGAATCAGCAGCGATTTGTGGGGCCCCAGGGCTAAGCTCGGCTTCCTTAGATCACATCCTAACGGCATTTTACTTTATTTGGAACACGGTTTGCATAATAAAATTAGAATGATCCATTAGCGGCCAGTAAGGTCTTCCAGACGGTTGTCAGGACGTGGAGAGAGGCCTTTGGAACTTGAATTAGCCTTGCTTTTCTACGGAAAAGAAACGGGGGAAGAGGTAAAAGGAGCAAAGTCCAGGGAGGCGAGGTGAAGTGAGTGAGGTGGAGAAGGAAGCCAGAGAGGCCGCGAGGACTGGGGACAGAGGAGACGAGCGAGGAGCGAGGGTGCTGGAGATGACGCGATAAACGCTGAGTCACCCTAACAGGTCATTGGGTGTACAGGAGTGAGATGCCGCAGCCAGGGAAAACCCGGGTGCTGATGGCACCCCACCTTCGGGCCTCCTTCCCGCCCGCTGCAGGAGCGCTGGCTTGGAGCTCGGCGCTGCCCGCTCGCCTTTGTCACCCGCTCGGTGCGCGGCCGCGGGCTCCCGCGGCGGGCTTTGTTCCGGCGGAGCAGGGCAGGACCCCTCGTACCGCCACGTCCCCGCCCTCGGTGGGCTGAGGACAGTGGGGGTGGGGACTGCGCGACAGGGACGGGGACTAGAGGAGCATCGGCGGACTCCTCTGAGCCTGGGATTTCGTTCCTTCGCTCCTTTCCGTAATTGAGCTGTTCCCCCTTCGGGGAGGGGGCCGGGGCTGCGCGGGGGGAGGAGAGCTGGGAGGGGACGCCCGCTCTCAGCCCGCAGCCAGGGCGAGGCGCAGCTCGCGGTGGCTGCGGCCGCGGTTTCACATTGTGTGCGTGAACGCATGCGGGGATGCATGCATGCAAGGATGGGGAAAACCGTTGAATTGGGTCCCGGATTCTCGGTCTCCGGCCGAGGCTTTGGCAGCAGCAGGGCGCTTCAGGTCGGTGCCTGGTTAACCCCTAAGATCCGCTCTCGAGGTGCTTCGGGGCCGCGGGTGGGCGCTGTGCACACTCCTTGGGGTCGGAGCTGTCCACCGGAGCGCTCGGGTCCCGCCCGTGGAGGCCTGTGGCGGGGACAAAGAGGCAGACACCCCGCGCGAGCAGAGGACAGGTGCGCGCCGGCACCCACGCTCTCGCGCCCGGCCCCTCCGGCGAGCCCCGCTCCTCTCAGCCCGGGGCCCCGCGACCGCTCGGCTCGCCTCGTGCAGAGCCGGCGCGCTGCTGTCGCCATTGCATTGAGCAAGCGGTTTGCCAACGACTGTCACCCTCTCCGCAGCCACCCCCAAGGTGTGGGCAGATTGCAAGAGTTGCTGCTCTGTTACTGTTTGTCAAACAGGCCCCTTCTCTTGGGAGAGGGTCGAGGGGCATGTGGCGGATCCCGGGCCAGGATTACATTAATCAAAGCATTATTTCCCCAGAGAAGCCAAGCACAAATGAGAGTAAATCCTAATAAAATTGGATCGCGGAGAAATGGAACGCTTTAGGTAATCTGTGTTGCCTGATAAAAATCTCACATTTATAAGATGTGGGTCTTTAAAAAAGAATGGAAGAAGGAAATCCGCACACCTCAGGCCTCGGCTTGACTGCGGGGCCGGTCAGGCCGAGGGACGGTGGCCACTACCCGAAGCTCGGGTGAACTTCTGGGAGGAGAGAGGACGCGGACACCCCGGAGTTCGCAACCTCACCGATCAGGGCCGCTCGGACGGCGCTCGGCCGGGGCGTCTGTCTGGAGTCCCTCTGCAGGACCTCGGCCAGACAGAATCCCCTCGGTGCCCCCACCCAGGTCATGAACCCTGCTCCTTTGGGAACGCGGCCCCACTTTGCCCTTCGAGCGTGGTTGCAGGGTGGGCAATTTCCCGCGGGCAGGGGCGCCAAGCCTATCCACACGGGAAGGTGGGTGCGGCCCGTGGGCTGGGCAGGGGCCAGGCGCCCAGGCGTGGCGCCGGCAACCGATTCCCAAGTCCCTCAGGGTCCCCAGGCCCCAGCCCGCCACGTCTTGGGGCCGCCTCGGGCCTGTCCCCTCTGCCAGGGACAGGGTGTGCGCTTGGGGTGACAGTCAAAGCTCGCCGCGGGACTTCAGGTTCTTTCGGGTCATCCCAGCCACGAAGCAAGGCTCGCACTTAATCCGCCCGTGTCCCCCAAGCGGTAGGAAACTTTTCGACGCCTTGAGCCGCTCTGCACGGGAAGCAAGCGCCCCCTCCCCGCCCCGTAGTAACGAGTGAGTCGAGCAAAGCCAGCCAGCCGGGACGCGACTCCCTGCGTCCCCACCCCAGGCCTCCTCCAGCCGCGGAGACGGGAAAGCGGACTGCAATGCCTTGCGGCCCCTCGCTGGTGACAAGTGTGATGCCCGCCCCTCCCCGGCGCCCCGGGCGAGCAGCGGGGTCTCCTCCGGGCGCGAACGCGCGGGCGCCCCCTGCAGGTGGGCGCGGTCTGGCGAGTAGAGCGGCTTGGAGTCGTGCGCGAGTGTGAGCGTGTGAGTATGAGTGTGTGTGAGAGGGCGTGCGTGCGTGAGTGCGCCGCGCGCAGGGCAGGGCAGGGCAGGGCAGGGCAGGAGACGCTGCAGGACGCTCTGGTGCAAGCGTGTTCTTTACCGTCTTGAGGTCTACACCTCCCACCGTGCGCTTCGCCTCTCCACCCCCACCCGGGCTCCCACACGTGCGTCTCCCTCGCTCGCCCAAGTCTTCCCGTCTGATTCCCACCGACATCCCCTCGTGGTCCGGGCATAGTCATGGACGCCCTGACCCACGTGAGCCGGGTAAGGCTGGAAGGGGCAGTGTCCGCTGGGAATGCCATCGGCGGCATTTGCACCGTCCGGCGTGCTAGGACGGCGTTTCGCGCACCAAAAATCCGCGTTTCGGGGACGTGGATCTGTGCTTTCTCTCCCTGTTGGCATTAGAAATTGCGTCGTGGAGGTTTTATTTTTGGAAGGATAGGGAGGGGGTAGGAACCAGTTGCAAGTCACTTCGGGGACGTCTCTGGGTGACCAGTTGTGATCCTGGCATGGGCCTTTCCAATTTAGCGACTCCTTCCATGGTGGAGGGGGGGGCAAGTTGGTGAGCGAGGAGGAGTGAAGCCGCTCGTTTCTGAAGGCATGGCTGCCCTCTCCCCCGCCCGTGATTTCCATAATTTCATACAAAGCAGGAGCTGCCAATGAGCTCTCCATAAGAAAAGAGAAAAGCTCACTGCTAGGACGCAGCTTGGGCCACACGGAATTCCTCCTTCCTACAACATTAACCAAGGACTCCCCCCTCCCCTGACTCACCAAGTTTGTTCAGCTCTCAAGGGGAAGCAGGACGACATTTTTTTTTTTTTTTAAATACCTAAGTTTTTCCTTCCCTTGGGCTTGGACACCAA